CTTCAGATGCGCGTGGAGTGGCACGTAAACCACTGAGCACTGCTCTCGTTGCGAAGCAATCGCTGCATGCCATTGGTGACGTGGTCGGACAGAGTCCGTGGCATCTTGGGACGGCCCTATAAATGCGCGTGGAGTGGCACGTTATCCACTGGACGAAGACTGCGAGGTCAGCAGTTCTTTCTTCGTCGGATGTTGTAGACAACATCGGAGCTCCATGGGAGCGGAAAGCGAGGGTGGCACCGGACGACGCGGGGTGCGTGGTCACCCTGGTCTCACCGAGACCTAAAGCCTCTGTACAGAGGCAACGGCGACGTCGTATGCTGACTGTAAGACGCCGGACGTCGACCCTGATCCAGGGTGTGTCTACCGTAGATGACGGTGCACAGTTATACACCCTCATCAACGGTATGACGGAGGAGGAAGATGGCGACGTCCGCCTCGAGGCTATGCCTGCGGTAGATGCTCCTCTTGAATTGGACGAGATGTCCCTAGTAGAGTTCGGCAGTGCCTTGAAGGCAGGCGATTTGGCCGAAGTAGTCATTGTACGACCGGACGAGGAGATAGACTTGTCATCGCTTCTGGATGTAGCTGTCTTGGACGACACCAAGAGAGTGCTAAACGCACGAAGTGGGTCGTCGATCCTACGGAATCCCTTGAATCTGTACTATCCTTTGGTAAAGGAATTTCAAGATGTCGTCTCCAAAGACCCGCCTTCGGTCCTACCTCCGGACCAAGGTGTGTGTCATGAAATCGACCTGGTTCCAGGAACCAAATACTGCGTAACACGTCAATGACTCCTGTCCAAGAAGCAGTGCGACGTCATTGACGCCTTTTTCCGTACAAAGTACGACGCAGGATGGTACGTGGGAGCAAGTCTCCCCATTTGACACCCACGTTCTGTGTTCGGAAGCCGAACGGTAAGTGGCGTATCGTTCATGCTTACAATAAGCTCAACGCTGCCACCATTCCGGCAGAGACGCCGAATCCTAGAAAGGATGTTCGTTAGAACAACATGGTGGGATGTACGAAGTCCAGTGCACTCGACTTGGACGATGGGTATTACCAATG